CGCAGCCGCAGGGAACGCGAGGCTATAGGGGAACCGGTCGCACGACGGTCGCGGTAGGGACAACGGGGTCCCTCTAGAGAATCGGTGGAAAATAGTAAATAACGAGTAAATAACAGTATGTACATTACACGCAGTGGGGTTTGAGCCTAGCGTAGGCTCGGAGCAAAGCGTAGGCGCCTCGTCGTTGAGGTCACTGGGAGTTCTGGAGCCGACGGAGGGTGCCCCTCCAATGGGCGCTGGAACAAGTGCCTTCTTGTGAAGGCGAAGCACGCCGAGCTGGTCGGCGATGAAGTCTAGGCTTCCAAAGAGGAAGGCCTAGGACGGCTTAAAGACAGGTGGAACCCACATCCCAACTGGTGGGAGCATGGGAAACTCCAGCGAGCTGAAGAGAGTCGTATCGCTTGAGCCCGCCATGGCGAAGGTGGTGGAAAGGTGGGCCATCCAATGACCAAAAGTGTGAACGTACGGTGTCCTCCCCACGGACGGCGCCAACTGTTGGTGCAGAAAGTGACTAACACCTAAATATTTGTAGTTTTGCCATACGTTGTGATCGGATGTTGCCTAGCACTCAGTGACGTGGGGTTTATATTGGTTCAGGCAACGTGCCCTATGTCTAGTTTGAGTCGGTCGGTGACTTTATTCCCGAGCCTAGGTGCTCGAAGTTTGCTGTGGGGTTACAAACGAGAAGGAGTAAGACGGGGGGTGCAAGAGGTCCGGTCGAACTCTGGACCGAAGGGCCGAGAGAGACGGGAGCTCCTACGTGCACTAAGTATTTGAGCGTGTGCTTCGTTGGAATCGTTCGAATCGTAGGTTGTTCGAATCGTTCGTGAATCGATCCTTCGGTGGCCGAATCGTCTGTCCCCTTTTTGGAGAGAGCGCATCCCCTTTTATAGATAAAGGGGATGGCTTTACAAGAGGGAGTATGAGAGAAAGAGTGTGTGTGTGTGTGCTATCTAGTCTTGTTGCCCACATCGTCGGGTACAAGGAGGTTTGTTGGCGCCCATAACACTGTTGATACTCAGATGCATGTGGTAGGTTCCATCGTCTTCTTCTGGTATGGCAGATGTCGGCGCCTACCATACTGTAGGATAAATGTCGGCGCCCACAACATTGTTCATGTTTTGACATGTCTAGAAGGTTGCGGTGCATCCTTCTGACACGGCCTGACAGTACTGTCCTGCAGGCGTACAGGGTACGGCCCTTGATATTGCGGTTGACTGGAGCACCCTGCCTTACTTGCTCTATTCGTTTCCTGGGTCTTTGACCAAGCGGGCAACCCCGGTCGGTCGTTCCCTAGTCAGCTCCGGCCTTCCGGCCAGAGAAGAGTTGTAAGCAAAGGTTCGATGTACTTCCGGTCGGAGAACCGAGTCGGAGTCGGAGGCGACCATCGTTCCTTCTTGGCCAGGCCTTCCGGTCGGAGATGTGGGCCGGAGTCGGAGGCGACGGAAATGAGCGTCGTTCCACTTTGTCCAGGCCTTCCGATCTGAGAGGTGGGCCAGAGTCAGAAGCGAGCGCCGGAGCCGGAGGCGAGCTAGCCATGCCTTCCAGTCAGAGAGGCGGGCCGGAGTCGGAGGCGAGCGTCGGTCCTCCTTGGCCAGGCCTTCCAGTCGAAGAGGCAGGCCAGAGTCGGAAGCGAGTGTCGTTCCTCCTTGGCCAGGCCTTCCGTTTGGAGAGGCGGGCCAAAGTCGAAAGCGAGCGCCGTTCTTCTTTGGCCAGGCCTTCCGGTCGGAGACTGGATCGTTAGGTTTTTGGGCAGGCCTAGGAGTTTGCATCATTCGCAACATTGTCTGCTGGGCCGAGCTTTTGCTGGGAAGCAAGTCCATGAGGGACCCCTGGGTTTATGAATCCGACAATATGGTTGGTGGTGGGGAAGGATCGAAGGAGAGTGTAGTGGGAGAGGGGGATGACAATTGACAATGTACATCTAGAGGAGCTTCTCAGAGGTATCCTGGCATTGTTCTTAGCAAGGCCATGAGCCCATGACTAGTGGAGGTTAGAATTTTCTTATTTTATTATTGGAACCTATTGCCCAAAGTCTTCAATGTCTAAACCCAAAGTGGCCCAACAGTCCACTGCAAATGGACAATCAAGGAAGAGATGTAGAAGAATCTATTTAGTGCCAAGACTACAGACAACACAGTTATAATCATCCAGAGCCATGTTTTTTCTTCTTAACAAATTCCTAGTGTTGAGCCTGTCTTTCATAAGTAACCAAAAGAAAACCTTTCTTTTATTTTGACTACAGCTTTTCCAGAGCCAAGAATAAGCTGGGTGTACCTGTCTTCTTCTAATAAGATGTGCATAAGCTTTCTGAGATGAAAAAGATGGAGAGTTCCAAATATAAGTCCAATTGTCATTCTGTTCTAAGAGATGCAGACTGGCAAGGAGGTCTAAAAAATCTTGAAATTGCTAAAAGGCTTCCTCTGATAGAGGTAAGTGGAAGAGATCATGGATCTCTTGGCTCTAACCTGCAACTCTGACTGAAATTCAAGTGTTTATGGCATAGGAATGCAATTCTGGAAAAGCTTGTTCTAGGACCTGATCAGGCCATAAGTCTTGCCACAGAAAACAAGTAACACCATTCTTAATTGAAACTCTTGCCATTCCTTTATAAGAGCTCAAAAGCTTGACAATGTCTCTCCACCAAAAAGAGCCAAGTCTACAGGTTCCAGGTAATCTACCATTTGAATAATACCTTTCCCAGACCAAATGCACCCAGGGGATGTCCAACCTTTTGAAAAACTTATGTAGATACTTTAGAAGGAGACCCTCATTTTGGATGGATAAGTTCAGAACTCCCAAACCCACATTTTCCTTTGGGATGCAAACTAAGTTCTTCCAAGTAGCCTTGGGAGGAGCTTTATTATTAATATCACAACCTCTCCAGAGATAATGCTTTCTAAACTTGTCTATTTGCTTAACCACTGTTTTTGGCAGAAGAAAAGTACACATTGTAAAAGTGGGCAAGGCGCTATAAATACTGCATTTGTTAACTCCAATCTTCCTGCTTGACTAAGATAAACAGAAATATTACAGAGCCTTCTTTTACATCTTGAAACAAGTGGCCAATAGTTAGCTACTGAAGGTCTAGTCAAGCTTAGGGGCAATGTACCTTTAGAGCAACCAAAAGTATTAGCAAGGATATCAAATTTTTCTGCAGCAATGTTAATTGGAACCATAAAGGACTTATTGTAATTGACTTTGAGTCTAGTGCTCTCAGCAAAAGAATTAAGCAAAGCCTTGAGGAAAAAAAAAGTTGCCTGGCATCACCCTCCATAAAAATCAATGTGTCATGAGCATACTGAAGGATTGGAAAATCCTGACTATGAATCAAATTGATTGGTAAAGAAAGAACACCTTGCCGCTTAGCCCTGTTCAAGATGGTCTGCAGAAAATCAGCTGCCAAGACAAAAAGCAAGGGTGATAGGGGATCCCCTTGCCTAACTCCCCTTCTGCAGAGGTTTGTGTCATTTCATTGATCAAGGTCAAAAAGACCCATCAAGTGCTAAAGAGCATTACATAAGTTGTTTATAATGGTTTTCAGGGCTCACATTGTCGATTTGGAAAACATTACACCATGAGTCACATATGCTCCTATTCCGCCTCAACAATCACCGTTTCCAAAGTTGTGCTTAAGCATAACATGTGTCTTGAGTCAGCAGCCTCAACTTTGAAGATGGCCTATTCCTTCATTTCCACAATTGCCAGCAGCAAAGAGCAATGAAGGTCCCCCAAAATGTTGGTTCGGGATGTGGAATGGGCATTGCAAGGTGTGCAGAGACCCAGCAGTAGTTCCAATGTCTATCGGCATAGAAACTCCAAGCTTCATCCAAAAATGTTCACTAAACGGGCACCCAGCAACAATATGACTTGTTACGTTCTCCTGCTTGCAAATTTCAAAAATTGCATTGCGCTCTTCCTTGCATCAATAGCCATACGAAGAAAATGGACCCGTGTCGAGGCATGGCTCTTCCAAATGAACATTGTAGTTGGGTGAGGCGACATCCCTTGTCTTGAGGAGTTTGTATAGGCTCCAAGAGTCAAACATTCCTTGTGCGAGGTAGAAGGGTCCAGGCCAGTGGCGAGAGAGGTGACCACCAATTAGGGATTAGGACTAGGGTCCTGGAGATGGGGGAGGCCGAAGGGGAGGGGATTTACATCCCCCACTCGGCCACTCCCAGGCAGGATGGATGGCTCCCAGGCCTGCCGCTGTTTTGCGGGACTGGCCATGCCACCCACTGGGTTGGGGTAGCGGCCCAGGCACAGTCTAGTCCTACAGGCCAAGCTGGGCCGGGCACGCTGACCACCGAGCCGGGCCGAGCTTGGGCTAGGCTAAAAAAACAGGCCTCATGACAGGTCCCCGGATTGCAGGCTGAATGCACATATATAAATATATATTTAGATGCGTAGCAAAAACTATATATGTAAAAAGACAGAATGACTTATAATTTGTAACAGAATGGAGTCCCACGTAATCTACGCCGCTACGGTGAACAACTTGAGTGAGTGCCATGTCCCGTGACTTTTTGCGACGGACATACTCCTACCGTGTCCTACGGAGTAGCAGGCTTGTAATGTAAAGGACATAGATTGTTGCCCGGTAGTCGAAAGAGGAAGTGGACATACGACAAGGAGAAAAACAGTGACAGTTGCCCAGTTGGAGTGCCACGTCCCTCTCTCTATTATCTCTCTTTGTCGCGCGCACCCGTGGGGCCCACATGCAGTATGTTAGTATGTAGCCCACAGTACAACATCATCGCTTGGGCTCGGTCGGTCGGACATTCCCTCGGTCGCTACTCCTCTCATCACTGACCGCTCCTCTGGCACTCCTGCCCTTTATATAGCGACCCCCTCCGAGCTCACTCACTCCCCATTCACTCTTGGTGCTCTTGCCTGAATATATAGTTCCTCTGCTCTCTCTGACGCTTCTTCGTTATCGGCCTTGCTAGCTATCTAGCTCGGCCAACCGGGCGTCGCGCGACGAAGTAGCGCACGCAACAATGGCGGACGCCGGCGAGGGGCGGCGGGTGTGCGGCATGCCGGAGAAGGCGCAGCTGCACGTGGCGATGCTGACGCTGCAGTTCGGCTACGCGGGGTTCCACGTGGTGTCGCGGCTGGCGCTCAACATGGGCATCAGCAAGCTCGTCTTCCCCGTCTACCGCAACATCATCGCGCTCTGCCTCCTCGTCCCCTTCGCCTACTTTCTCGAGAAGTACGCCGGCCGTACTACTTCCACTGCTCACTTGCTGGAATAATGCATGCATGCCTGTGCTCGCTGATGATGATGTTTGTGAACTGCCTGCTGCAGGAAGGACAGGCCGCAGCTGACCCTCAACTTCGTCATCCAGTTCTTCCTCCTCGCGCTCTGCGGGTAAGCCACGCACAACATGCGCATGCATGCTGCATCGTAGCAGCTGATAAATCCTAGTAGTAGTTCGTAATTGTGACGACGAGGAAATTATTCACAATCGGTCGATATGGTTACGTTGTCAGCATCACTGCGAACCAAGGGTTCTACCTGCTGGGCCTGGACAACACGTCGCCGACGTTCGCGTCCGCCATCCAGAACTCGGTCCCGGCCATCACCTTCGCCATGGCCGCGGCGCTGCGGATCGAGAAGGTCCGGCTGGACCGCCGCGACGGCGTGGCCAAGGTGGCCGGCACGCTGGCGTGCGTGGCAGGGGCGTCCGTCATCACGCTCTACAAGGGCCCCACCATCTTCGGCCCCACGACCAGCGGCGGCGGCGACAAGCTGGCGGCGGCGGCGGCGGCCGTGGCCGCCGGCGACAAGAACTGGACGCTGGGGTGCGTGTACCTGATCGGGCACTGCCTGTCGTGGTCCGGCTGGCTGGTGCTGCAGGCCCCCGTGCTGAAGAAGTACCCGGCGCGGCTCTCCGTCACCTCCTACACCTGCTTCTTCGGCGTCATCCAGTTCCTCATCATCGCCGCCTTCATGGAGAGGGACGCCGACGCTTGGAAGTTCCACTCCGGATCCGAGCTATTCACCATCCTATACGCCGTGAGTCTCGCTATATCTCTCGATCTCTACTAGCCACGCCGTTAGTCACGGTTTATGTAATTTGTTTTATAATTACCTCATATTTAATCCTCCTAATTAACATCTAAATATTCGATATAACATAGACTAAACTATAGTCCCTGATCTAAACACGAGTCAGAGAGAATGAGAGATGCATGCCACGTCAGGCTCCTGTCATGTTGTGGAGACAGAGATTGAGTAGTAGTGCATTTCTGAGGCAGAAAGTATACTAAAGTGGTGCACGCAACAAGTAAAAGCGTATTAGCTAGCTAGCTGTACAAATGACACCTTTTTTTCATTCAGCATATTATATGAACTGAAAAGCTGATGGCTGGGTTAATTAGTTGTTTGTTTATCGATCATCAGATCCCTGAAGCAACAACCTTTATTTTGGACTGTTTTTTGTTCTTGGTCCTAACCATCCAGTGCTGCTGCCTATGATATGTGTATGCCTGCCTGCAGGGGTTCATCGCGTCCGGGGTGGCGTTCGCGGTGCAGATCTGGTGCATCGACCGCGGGGGCCCGGTGTTCGTGGCGGTGTACCAGCCGGTGCAGACGCTGGTGGTGGCCATCATGGCGTCGCTCACCCTGGGCGAGAAGTTCTACCTGGGCGGCATCATCGGCGCCGTGCTCATCATCGCCGGCCTCTACCTCGTGCTCTGGGGCAAGAGCGAGGAGAGGGCGCGCATCGCCAGGGACGCCGCCGCCCTCGTCTCCAGCGCCGGCGACCGTGACCGCGAGGGCCTCCTTGCGGCCGGCGGCGGTGGTGGCATCCGGAGCAAGGCGGCGGCGTCGGCCGTCACGCAGCCTCTGCTGCTGCCGTCCTCCACCTCCACCGACAACGTCTGACCGATCGATCGATGAATCCTTCGTCATCCATGGTGCATCGAGATCTGAGGCTGCCACTTCTACAGTGAGCTCATCCATGCATGCTGCGCCTCTGCACTCATGGATCGAGCGATATGATCCGATCCAGTACTATTGTCATTTATTTTATTTTTTTTTTGAGGTTTTCCTTGTTGATTTCAGGCATGTATGTATGTATGCTGCTACCTACGTATATGCATTACTATGGTGTGTGTGTGTGGTGAGCGAGCAGACGACGGCAGGTCATTACGACTTTGAGCACGACCTGCTTTTTAATTCGTAGTACAATACTACGTACGTACGTAGCTAGGATTGTTTGGAACGAGCATGCATATATGCATGATCTCGTCAGTGTGTACGTCAATATTATTAATTGATTGGTGTGTTCAAAGAGGCGGCATGTGTGTTGATGCATGTTTGGTATGTGTGCATGCGCAATGCATTGCTCGTCAATGGAGGTCCATAATATAGGAGTACTATTAATTAGTTTGCAGGTTATGTTTTTCTCACATAATAGGAAAGACAACCTACAAACTAATAGTAAAAAAACAGGTATGCCAACTTTTTGCTAATTACACAGTAAAACACACTCCCTCACAACGCACGCATACTCACCTCTACTAACGACACGCATGCAAGTCCTATCGCTGTGAGCCTCTTCGAAAACTGAGTCAGCAAATCATCGTTTATTACTCCTAATAAAGTAATGAAACTGAAAAAGCAGAATAGTTCTGCACTGTGGCTAGTGTCCTGTCCACTTGAGCGTTCCACCGTTCCACGCTGCAAATAGTTATGCACTGTGGCTTCCAACAGAGCTCAGCTTCACTGACGGAACAGCCTTCTTCATTGTAAGATTATTTACATTCCTCTCCAAAATATAAAGCATATTCAACTTGGTGTTATCTTCAAGATCGCACTTTGGCCACTAATTTCTCTCACAATATATAGTTTATGGCAATAAAGTTTGATTATTAGAAAGTAGTTCTAAATACAACTTCAAGATAACTACTTTTGTTGTATAGACTTTTCATATGATCAAACTATTTGTCGCTCAAAGATAACAAAATTTGTATATTAAAATAAGTGCACATTTTTTTGGGAGAACTGTATCCCAAATAACACGAGAAAATCTAAAATAAAAAAGATAATATTTTATCCAGATTCTTTCATCGTCTTATTCCCCTAGTGCCTTTACTCGATGCGGAACATAGCCTTGTTGGACATCGAAACCAAACTGTTGTCCTTATGCTGAATCTAATGATAACCCCAAATTATTGGATATGCCGCAAGATCCAACTTTCCGGAATCAGTCCCAAACGCATTTGAAACGATAAAAGAACATCCACGATTGCATCATCGGGTACAATATAGGCTAAAGATTCATCATCCCAACCCTCGATTCTTCATGTATGTCTGATTTCCTCTCCGCGACCATCGAGAATGAGATCAATGAACCAGAGTTCCTGTCCTCAGGAGGAATGCCCAGGAGCACCCCTTCCCGTGCATATAATGGCCACAAATTGAGCTCATGCCGATGAAATCGATGCCTGCAACAACGACCTCGTCGTGACAATCACCGAAGTCGATCCTAACAAAAAAATCATCCGATTTCGTCGGTAGATTTATTTAGACTAAACTCTAAGTAAACTAGATCTAAAAAATTGTTGTAAAAGAGAGACGAGTCCCTCTCCTTACCACTGACAGACTCACTAGAAAGGAAGAAGGAGAGGGACCCTAGACGACGAAGCGGAGGCGCGCGGAAGCGGTGTCTGATTGGACTCAACTACATGCACATCTTATGTTTTAAAACGGAGAGAGAGTATATATGATATAATTATAATTATCTAATTCAGCCAAACAAGCTTGTTCCCATTCAGAACATATCCTTGATGGATGGAAAATTATATTAGTAGGAGTAAGTTGGCTTCACACCTCTCACAAAATCCATTAGCAAGGGATGGATGCAGCATCCAGCATGGCAATGGCATGAGCGTCGAAGATACTAGGGCAGGAGGCAGCTCCTTGAGCCTCTGAAGATGAAGCAGGGAAGTGGTGGAATGCAATAAGCTCCGAGCTGGCTGAGGTTTTCTGGGCTGGGCCCAAATGACAAATGGGCCACGATTTGTTTTTTAACACAAATGTTTGGAATGGGCCACGATTCGGTTGCAAGTTTACAACGATACCTATACCTATACAGGTCGGCCTGCCTCCATCTAATCCTAATCCATTCAGTGTCATTTCATTCTCCAACAATTATTATGCTTGGGGTGGTTAACTGAATATCTAGTATTCAGATGAGGCCTACGCAAGGTACAGTAAATAAATTAAGGATTATTAGTATGTCATATTATTACTTAGTAATTATGACGGCATGATTAATTTGGATAAGTGTTAATACATTGATTAGTGCACATTTTGTGTGTCAATTAGGGTAGTAGTAGTAGTAGTAATGGTGCTAATTAACATATTATATTTTTATTAGTGATTATGATGGTTGCAAAATTAAGTGTTAGTGTCTAATTAGTTTTATAATTTTTAAATAGTAGATATAATTAGCCAACTACTCCATCTCATCAACTCTCACTCATCCGGCCAAACAAAGAAATGGTTCATCTCATTCTTTCAACCAAACAGACAATATGGATAAGGCCCTGTTTGGACCATGTTTAAGGATGGCAACGGGCGGATTCCAATCGGGTGGAGTTTCCATGCACTCAAAACTGAAACCCGAACTTAAAACCCAAATCCGTCCCGAACAACGATTCAGATAGAAATGCATCCCCGAAATCAAACCCGGCAATACCCGAAACCCGATGGACATTCCGAAACCCCAAAAAATTTCAAAAAACCAGCAAAGACAGTGTAACAGTACATGAAAGTACTACTTTACTAGCAGCTACAGAACATAAAAACTAGCAAAAACAACAAAGAAGCTTGCAAATGAATATAGATAAATCATTCCAACAAGATCCAAAATTATAGACCATGAAAGTACAAGTACTAGCAGCAACAGAACATGAGAATATGTCGACACCATGCTGTCCATGCAGAACCAGAACATGAGAACATGCAGGACTAGTCCAGATTCCAGAATGCACAATACAGTCATACATAGAGTTGAGATTTTACAAATAAGAGCAACACCACACAGGGAAAAACACTCCAAGTTCAATACAAGTGCAAAACAGCACAAGTCAACATCCATAGTCCTCCAAAGAAATAACAGTAGGCCTCCAAACAAATAATATTATTACAGCGAGGAGTTTCCTGGATCAAATAGGTAGGCAATTGGAGACACTGTAATGGACTGTGACGCCTAAGAGGGGGTGAATTAGGCAACTTAAAGATCTACTCTAAACTATGACATTTTTTTCTATCCTTAGCAAAAACCTATGCAAAAGATAAACTATCTAAATGTGCAACTACGGATTTTGCTAGTGTGTTGCTATCTCTACCATAAAAAGGAGTTATGCAACCTAGGTTACAAACCTATCAACTAGCCTATCACTAAGCTAGGAAAGTAAAGCACAAACCAAGATTGCAATGTAAATACATAAGCTAAAGAGTAAGGTAGAGATATACAAACTTCCGTTGACGACTCTAGTATTTTTATCGAGGTATCGAGAAGCGCGTAAGCTTCCCCCTAGTCCTCGTTGGAGCCCTCGCAAGGAATCCCTCGCAAGGGCCAAGCTCCCGGTCGGGTAACTCCGTGGATAGCCTCGGGCCTTCCCCACACGCAAGTGGGTCTCCGACGTGCCTTCTGGCAAGCCTCTTCCGGATGCTCCCTGCAGTCTTCACTATCAAGCTTTCGGTCGAAACGCCGCAGACCTTGTTCCCTTCGGTACACGGTGGCGGCCACACCACAAACGCGGTTGGTGTGATCTCGCAAGATTACAAGCCCCGCCGATGTACAACAATGGTGCGCGCAAGCACCGAGTGATAAGAGGTGTGCAAACCTCACTAAACACTAGGCCTAAACCTAGAGCAAACGCATAAACGGTGGTCTAATCAACCTAAGCACTTCGCAAAGCACATACGATAATCACCTAAAGAATCACTAAGCACTATGCAAATAGAGATCATTAAAATGGTGTATCAACACCCTTGGTATGTTTCCTCAGCTCTCCTGCTCTCAAATGGCCGGTTGAAGGCATATTTATAGCCCCAAATGAGAGAACTAGCCGTTGGAATCAAAACCAACGTTTCTGCTAGTGACCGGACGCTGTTGTCGTCCTCACCGGACGCGTCCGGTCATGCCGACTGTTGGAGTGCGCGCGTTGATCGGACTCTAGGCCAAGTCTGGTCTCACTCAATCAGACGTGTTCGGTCGCGCTGGCGCCGCTCTGGAACCTTTCTGGACATGATCAGACACTACTTCTTGGTGCGTCCGGTCATCCTGCCGTCGCGTCCGGTCATGCTGAAAACATTGTCGTGACAAATAACATTGTCATCTGTGCGTTCGGTCACTGCTTCGCTCAGCGTCCGGTCACAGCTACTAACATCTGCTGTTGCCGAGCAACTGATCGGACGCGTCCGGTCCTCCTAGGGCCGCATCCGGTCACCTCTGTCGAGCTCGTTTCTTCGCGATCTTGCGTCCGGCTTGGTTCCCATCTTCGTGCTTGGACTATGCTTGATATCTTGGGTCCTCTCTTGTGCTTCTAAGGTCTTACTTATGGTGTTGATCGTGGGATCATTATGTCGTCTTCGTCCAAGTCATGTCTTGTCTTGCACCCTATTGAACTACAAAACAATTACTTACAAATTCATTAGTCCAATTTGGTTGTATTGGTCATTAAACACTAAAATCCAAAGTAAATGGGCCTAGGGTCTATTTTCCTTACAATCTCCCCCTTTTTGGTGATTGATGACAACACGACCAAAGCAAGCAAATAATAAAAATTTTTGGAATTTTAAAACTATTTACTTGCTAGGATGCAATGCAAAGGGCAAGGTTTTATGATGCTAAAAGATACCACATGTAA